TTCCAGCAATCAATTAACACAAGAATGTGTACCAATAGGGCAAGAAATAAGTGCTAATGAATGACAATAAAGCGAACCTCGGATGAACATATTGTGGCAACACGAATAGAGCTATCTACTGGAGGAGAAAATGTTATAACAGCTCTTGTGTCTTGAATGCGGATTAATTTCAAGTTTACATAAGGGGAAAATTGCAACTGCCACGATTCTAGTTACATCATATCAACTCTGATGCCTGCAGATTGATGAAAAAGAGTACTGTCCAGAGAGGCCAACCTTCGCGGAAATTTCAAGTTTACAGAAGGGGACAATTGCAACTGCCACGATTCTAGTTACATCAGATCAGCTCTGATGCCTGCAGATTGATGAAAAAGAGCACTGTCCAGAGAGGCCGGCCTTCGCGGATTAATTTCAAGTTTACACAAGGGGACAATTGCAACTGCCACGATTCTAGTTACATCAGATCAGCTCTAATGCCTGCAGATTGATGAAAAAGGACAAGTTTGCTCTGATGCCTGCAGATTGATGAAAAAGAGCACTGTCCAGAGAGGCCGGCCTTCGCGGATAAATTTCAAGTTTACACAAGGAGACAATTGCAACTGCCACAATTCTAGTTACATCACATCAGCTCTGATGCCTGCAGATTGATGAAAAAGGACAGTTTGCACTGATATAGGTTCCACATATGGTGTTCAACACGCCCCCTCACGCGGTGGGTTCCAAGCAACACGTGGATATCTTTTCTAAAGAAGATTTTCCAGCAATCAATTAACACAAGAATGTGTACCAATAGGGAGAAAGAGATAATGTTAGACAGCCATTTTGTGTAACAACACTAGCAATAACCAAAAGAAATGAGTGCTAATGAATGACAATACTTTAGATGGAAATCAAAGCGAACCCCGAATGAATATATGGTGGCAACACGATCTTTGGACCCATGTACTGAGGACAAAAGCTTATAATAGCTCCTGTGTCATTCTCCAAAGCACGGATAACAAAGCCACCCTGGCCTAGCACACCTTCAGCTGAATTGTTAGAACAGAGCAGCTTAAAAGCAATTTTGTGTTGAGCATTCTCTTCATCTATGGTAAGAACTCTTTCAACATATTTTGATACTGAATGCCCGACTGGAAATGTATCACCAGCACTGTCCAGAGAAAAGAGGTCTGCAAGATTTTCATTAAGTGGCACTTGAGACATGTTTGCCTGTATCCTTCTTGCGCAATCTCGGAGACATTGAGACACAGAAACTAGTGCTCTCTTCACAGCTAAAATTCCACCCATTATCTACAACAATTTCAAAATATTCTTAGATGAAGATTAAGGACAATTAGAAACAAAAAGGAAAAGACTATATGTTTTTTTCCATGAAGAAGACCTATGCAAACAATGCAACATTTCCCCGCTATTAACAAGAAATTTAAAAACATGAATAGATAATGAGGAGAACACTAGCCAAAGAATCAGATACAATAAAGATTCTCAGTCAAGACTCAAGATAAACTTAGTATCCATGATTCTACTCATAAAAACTAACGTCAGAGACATCACCTGAATCAACTCGTCGTCCTTGGAGATACAAGCTGGTAGATGTTCCTTGTTGTTCATAACCTGAATCTTTGCTCCATGGATCCTCCAAATAGCATCATGTATCCTCCTTACCGCACTAATTTGAAACGAATTTCCAACCAATCTACACCCGACTGCTCTGCCCTCCCTGCCTCCATTCCCTTCCAACTCCAAAACTCACTAAAAACCCTAAGTAAACCCTTCTGCGCAGCAGAAACATGCACCAGCTCCGCCTCACCAGTACCTTCGTTTACAACGATGTCCCTCTCAACAGTGGCGTTTCCGGTTACATTGATGACTCGCTCGAGGCAGTTCCGGATAGGCCTCATTACTACGATTCTGCACCCGGTTTTGTGATCCAGGTGTCCACTCCGGTGCCCTTATTCCCGATAAAGCCGCCAACTATATCCACGTGGCAGAGCATGCGGAAGTTCATCACGGGCCGCGGAGGCAGACGAGGCGGCGTCTCAGCTCGATGCTTTCCCTTCTGGTCGCGGCGATTGCTCATTTTCCGTTATTTCCGCTCGCGCCGGGAGGGAGGTTGCAAGAAATGAAAGAAAGTTTTCCAGAAAGCCTCTGCCTAACTCCCTATGTGTATTCGCCAAGAACAAATACTCTGTATTGTATTCTTATATATAATGAGCGGTCGCTATCGACGACGTTGAAGCGGTTAGCCGTCGCCGTTAGGCGGCGGGAACATCAGGTGACGCGATTGACAGCTGGCAGGAGGACGAGTGTCGGAGCACGGGGGAGAGCGAATGAAACTGCTGAATATGGTAGTTTGAAGTATGCAATAATATTTTTAAATTTCATCCCAATTTCCGTAATTTGCACAAAAGTCCCCAATCAGTCAATCACCCCTTGACTTGTCATCTTAATCTCAAAATTATTAATTTGATCATCGACTATTTTATTTTTTTGGGTGATGAAAAATACACACAATGACTACTTAAAACTTCAAAAGTATATATGCATTAGATAAATTTATGTGTGTAATTCTAGTCAGCAAATGATTATATACAACACATGAGTGTACCAAATACAATCGGTACCATAAAATTTGCATTTAATTATTTTTGTCTTTTTCCATGAAAACTTAGATGATATAACTTAATTTAACCCACCAGGACTATGTGGTCTAATGGTATCCGGGTTGGACTTCCATTTGGCTCTTTGTGTTTCAGTAGGTTGAGAAAGTATATGAACAGATACTACAATGTAATAGAGCTAGTAGCATTCAAAAAAAAAAAAAAAAAAAAAACTTAATTTAACCCTCTTTTAATTAAGATATTATTAGTTAATTTTTTTTGGTAGGATTATTTGTTAATTTTATTTTGTATACAATCATAATTAACCTTTTTTGTGACCTAATTTAATCTCAATTTGTTGTGATTTTACTCAATATATTCCTCTATTTGTATTTCCATCTATTTGCTGTTAAATCTAAAGTTATTTTTGTAATTGCAATAATCTACCCTCTTTCACCTGGTTACCTTCGAATTGCAATCTTGACGTCATCAGGTTGTTACCGAACCCTGGTTCCAGCAACACCAGAGAGTCCTAGTTGCATATGTTATCAGATAATTTCACTTGTATATATTTTCATCATGTGTTAAAGTTGAGAGAAAAAATAAGGAAATACCCAAAACTAATCAGGCAATTTTATAAACAAAAGCTAATTAATCACTGTAAATGATCTTTCCTATAAAAGAGAAGAGATTATTGCAATTACAAAAATATTATTGAATTTAACAGCACATGGATAGAAATGTAAACGAATGTATGCATTGAGTAAAAACACAAAAGTTTGAGACTATATTATGTTACAAAAGACAAACATGACAGAATTGATAAAAAACCACCACAGTTAATGACTATTCTGGGTATATATTAACTTATAAATTTTCATACAAAATGGATAATGTCATATTAGATGCTTAATGTTTGACTACTTATGTTATATCATTTATCAACTATATAAAATGGAAGTAATCAAATTTGATTCTTGATGAACAATTTTGTATCATTTTATGGACGGACAAAGTTAAAAACGAACACACATGTATATACCAATTTAAAATTTTAAAAAATCAAACAATAAACCAATATTAACTCTTATCTAATATAGATATAGACTAGTCAAATGAAGTCTGCTATGCAATTAAATAAATGTTTAATAATTACAAAATTATCAAAATAAAAAAAATAATTTTTTTTTTTATAATTTCATGTACACCTTAAAGTTAACTTAGTTTAAAATTTTATATTGATGGGATATATTTTATTCTAACTAAATATTATTATAGTATATTAAGTAATTGAAGTTCCCATCAATCACAATCAATATTTATCAAAATATACGTTTAGTAATCAATGATTTAAACTAGAGTTTTGATATATCAAAATGCCAAAATATAAAACATTGTTGGGAGCAACAAATACCGATGGCATTTTGGTATAAACATCTTTGTCCATCCCTAACAATAAAATAAAATAAAATAAATCATGTAATAAGATGGTTGTCCCACATCTTTCTCTATTAAGGTAAATAAATTTAAGTTCACTACTTACATGTAAGGCCACTAACTATATTTGGTACAAGGATAGTGTTCCTTGTAACTAATATGTATATTATAGTATGTAAAATAGAGGAAGATTAAGGATAGTGTGCATGAGATAAATTCTGTTCTCTTGTAGTAATTATAAACTAACTTAGCTCTTCTTTACTCACTAAAAAAAATATAATTATAAACTAGACATAAGTAAACTACAACAAGAAGATCTTGTATGACAACAGAGAGAATGTTTGTAAGAAATAAGAATCACACTTTTAATTTTTAAATACAAAAATCATGTTTCACGCACTAAATTACTCTTTTTGAGAAGGTAGTGCTCCTCCATTGGTTAGTATAAATGATATGAGTTAATACCATCTACGGTCATTTGAGTATAGTGTTTTTGTCATGTTTAGTTCTAAGGTCATTCGACTTTCAAATTGTTACCATCCGTAGTACAAGTTAACCATCCATAATTCTTCAATTTTCAAATTTTAACTAGTCACGGTCATTTTGAAAGGACCATGAGTGATTAAAATTTGATAGTTGAAGGATCACGTGTGATTAACTTGGATTACAAATATTAATAATTTTGAAGTCAAAAGACCACGGGAGGTAAATTTAAAAGCGTAAGATTAAACGTGACAAAATCAGTATATTCGGAATACCCTTAACTCAAATAACTTCAAATGATATTTTATGGGAAAATTTGCAACATAGAGATGAGATGAGATGAGATGGCCCAATGGTGTAGTTGTTTATGGCTGTTGGCACTTGGCATGTTGTGACACCTTATCTCTTTCTTGCAGGCTTCCATATTGAATAATAAGTGTGGGCTTAATCTGAATAAATGATCGTGAAATATAATTTTTCAATTTAAATAGTGTTTGATTATTGCTAATATAATAGCGTGAATTTCAATTCCTTTGTAACAAAGTGCTGGCCTAGATGATGTATACCAATATAATCACAAGTAGCTAAGTGAACAAAGCATAAAGCTTGTAGTAACAGAGCTCAGTCCCCCTCCATCAATGGCGGATCAAGATTGCAAGCTTCATATAGTGATGTTCCCATGGTTAGCTTTCGGCCACATGATTCCATTTCTAGAGCTCACCAAGCTCATAGCTCAAAAGGGTCACAAAGTCTCCTTCGTTTCCACTCCCAGAAACATCGATCGCCTCCCCAAACTCCCCCCGTCCCTAGCTTCTCTCATCAATTTTGTCAAGCTTCCTCTCCCGCCGATACCAAACCTGCCGGAAAACGCAGAGGCCACCATCGACCTCCCGTACGACGACGTGAAGTACCTCAAGAAAGCGCACGATGGTCTCCGAGAAGCCATGGCTAAGTTTCTTGAAGAATATCGTCCAGATTGGGTTTTGTTCGATTTCGATGCTTACTGGGTACCGGAGGTCGCGTCGGAATTCGGTGTTTCGACGGCTTTCTTCAGTATCTACATTGCCGCTTTATTGGGCTTCATTGGGCCTGGACCGTCGGATGTTAAGTATGAAAAGAGGACGACGGCGGAGGAATTCACCGTCCGGCCAAAATGGGTGCGGTTCGATACGCCGGTTGCTTATCGGCTTCACGAAGTTTTGAGGATTTTCAACGACAGCGTGGCCGGCGATGAAGACAACGTTTCGGATTTGTTCCGTTTCCAGTCGAGCGCTGAACGGTGCGATGTTTTGGCGGTGAGGAGCTGCTCGGAATTCGAGCCGGAATGGTTAAACGTCCTGGAGGAGATCCACGGGAAACAGGTTTTTCCGGTGGGGCAACTGCCGACGACAGGTTTTGACGGCGGCGATGACGGCACGAACGAGTCATGGAACGAGACGAAACGGTGGCTGGATAATCAAGCTAGACGGTCAGTAGTTTACGTAGCGTTCGGGAGCGAGGTGAAACCGAGTCAACTCGAACTCACCGAGATTGCACTGGGTTTAGAGCTCTCCGGCCTGCCATTCTTCTGGGTTCTCAGAACCAAGCGCGGCGACACCGATTCAAACTCAGTACAGCTGCCGGAGGGCTTCGAAGAGCGCACTAGAAACCGCGGGGTCGTGTGCACGAGTTGGGCGCCGCAACTCAGGATACTGAGTCATGACTCGGTCGGCGGGTTCTTGACACATTCCGGGTGGAGCTCGGTGGTGGAGGCGATACAGTTTGAGAAGCCGTTAGTTCTGTTAACATTCTTGTCGGACCAGGGAATAAACTCGAGGGTTATAGAGGAGAAGAAGATGGGGTATCCGATCCCGAGAGACCCGAGAGACGGGTCGTTTACGCGTGACTCGGTGGCGAACTCGGTACGGCTGGTGGTGGCGGAGGAAGACGGCAGGATTTACAGAGATAAAATAAAAGAGATGAAGGGATTGTTCTGTGACAAGGATAGGCAGGATGCTTATGTGGAAAGGTTATTATGTCACCTTCGCAGCCATAGAAACCCCCAAAACTCATCACTTTCTTCCTAATCATTAAGTAATCACATAAACAGCTCAGTTGACCACTAGTGAAATTTAAATGCAATGATTCAGGATCGAATCTCACCAGCTATAGTGTAAAAACACCTTTTTAAAGTGATAAAGCTAGATCAAATCTCTGTGTTCAGCTGAATTACCATAATTGACATTATTCCAGATGCTCTGTCGAGTCAATTGTTTGACCAACTTAATTGGTGTTAGTGTGTTATCCATATCATGTATCAAACTTGTTTTTATCTATGAATGTTACACTATCACATGAGATGATTACATTCTCCAATCTCCATTCCCTTTGTTAACTCAAGTACAAATTCAATCACTATCCACTTTCCACATGTGTCAACCTTAAACAATAACCATAAAAGTCAATAGCCATGGAGTATAAAATTGTGTGTTTTTGTACATTACATATACACAAATATAAACAAAATTTACAACCGAAATAATAATCTATTTTTCATTAAGAGAACCTTTACTTACAAACGTAAATCTTTTTAAGGTATGTTAGTTACCTCTGATTTGTTTATCACACCAGACAAACAAACAACTTAAAAATTTGTAATAATTATAAAATTTAATGTCATTTTTACATAGCGAGTTCAGAGCCAATGTAATTAAAATTCAACATGTTGTCAATATTAGTAGGCAACTCTATGGTGTTTGACATCATATATATGCCTCAATTTTATAGTTTTGCAATGTTGTCATAAGCCCATACAATGGAGAGGATGATTATATTGGATTTGGTTTACATCTCTCTCAAGTCTCAACCCAAACCACTTGAACACATGACACAACATCATATCCCAACCTAGTGAATTTGGACTACCAAAACAGCCTGAGATAGATCTTTATGTTTTTGTTTTTGGTTTTGGTTTTGGTTTTGTCAAGATATATACATAGTCAAATGAAATATGAACAAGGATAAGAGACAACCTAACCAAGCTTGCTAGCATGAAATATCCATTTTTTTTTTATAGTGTTGCAATTACCATAAACTATGCGATAAGACATGACCAAATCATATTGTTTCCTAGTACGTAGATTCATATGCTGCGACAAAGGTGAGTTAAAGCGTGCATGGGAAAGGAACAACCTGACAACCATTATCAACAAAAATTCACTATCATGTATTCGCTTTTAGCTGATTAAAATAGTATGTTTGACTAAGCTAGTTGATAATATATATTAACTGATTGTAAATAAGTGTTAGATAAATAGCTGATAACTAATTATGCAAAATTATTTTCTCAAAAAGTTTACTGAAAAAGCTGTTTTAAATATTTTTTTGAATTTTAGCATTTTGAATCAATAATAGCTATTTAATGAAAAATAACTCACCTAAAAAATATTGATAATAATGGAATTTGAAGTAATCGGAAGTCAACATCCATCCTAACTGATGTTAGGAATTGAATTTGTCAAACTTTTGGTCTTGTCTAGCTAAACTCTCAATCCCTAACTAATTTTTTCTGTCTTTGACATCATTTTATTATAAGATATTATAAATATTATTATGTATTATATAGTTGAATAGTTACAGTTTAATCACATAATATATTTGATAAGTTTAATCAAGTAGTGGTAGTGGGAGTCTTTAACATATTCTGACCCGAGACTCGTAGCATGCAAATCCAATTCCAAAGTATATACGAAAACCAAACAATTATTTACCTAATTGTTTTCCCATATTTATCTAAAGATCAAAAGATTAATTAAAATATTTTTTAAACATGAATTATTTAAAAAAAAAAATCAAAAAACATTTTACAAGTTTCTAAACGGATATTAAATTTATTTAGCCAAGATATAAAAAGTGGAAATATAGAAACACTCAATTCCACATTATACAGATCCATGTGTTTAATGCGAAATGTCTTATAGGCCCCATATGTTTCCCATGCTTTTGTTAAACTTGGTTTAATGTCCATTTCCCACCTAGGAAATTCCAACACTTGTTGACTTGAATTAGGGTTGTTTATTAATTTATTTGACTGTATCTTCGAGATATTTCAAATGTCTCTTTGGCAAAATTATTTGAAGTGGAACAATTTACAATGCAAAGGGTGAGTATTGTAACATATATACATATTAGGGTTGTTTTACAATGAAATATTTTATTTTATTTTGATTCAGGTAATATATTAAGTGTTGAAAAATAGATATGAGATATGAAATATGAGTACATAATTTATATATTTAGATAATCAATAACAATTTTTGTGATTGTGGATTTGTGGGTCACGCTCAGAATGAGCATACAGTGCACGGCTTAGTGATATATATATATATATATATATATATATATATATATATATATATATATATATATATATATATATATATATTGTGGAGTGACCCGTTAGACACGGGAAGAGAGTTACCAAACTCTCCTAGTACTAGCACCAAAGGCACCTGCCTCGATGAGAGGGATGATGGAACCCGGGGGTGACTCAAGCACCGTAGTCCCCCAGGACGCGGTTTGCCCAATGTTTGCCAGATGGTCAGCACACTTATTCCATTCTCTTAGCGTATGTATGAACTCAATATCAATGAAGTTACGAAGAAGGAATTTGCAGTCTTTGACAAGTGTTGAAGCATTCTCTAGATCATCATCCAAGTTATGCATAACTGTCACCACCGCCTCCGACGGTTTAGTGATAATGATTGTGTATTTATGTGAGCAAATACGAATACTTTAAAATGAACAGGACACGTAACTTAACAAGAGCAAACATCATAATCTAAAAATTATATTGATAAAGATTAATTAGTTCAAGATAGAGGTCATTATCAACTTGTGGTGATGAATATTGGTATCATTTGGCCGGAGATTAAGGCAATATTAGGCCAACAACAAAGAAATGCATGTCAGTTTCAATAATCTTGATTTCAAACTTTGGAATCCACAACAGTTTATAATTAAGTCCTAAATAATTTCTTAACAATCACTATATTGTGACTGAATATATATAATAGGGAGTATGTTAATTATAAGTACATAACCTCAATTATAATCTACAATCATCATTAAAAAAAAAAAAAAATAGTTTAGTCGTCCAACAATATAATGCAGTGGGTCTAGCTTATCCGACATGCTCTTTACTCATTGGGTTCTCCGAAGCTCCATAGATGTACTAAAAAGATGAGTGGTGACTGGTGACCTCTGTTGACATATTCCTGACTTCTAGAGATTGGTTCCTAACTTTTGACCAAGGGGATTACAAATCAAAGAGGTTTCACCCTAATTTTGAGAATTTTCATCGTTATTGTTGTTGCTATAGTTAGGGGACGTAAATCATGATAATTCAGTTCAGTGAACACAAAAGTTATATTTTTATTTATATTTATTTTCAGATGTTATTATTTTCAAACTTCATTCATATGAACAATTGAGCTGCTCATATAGATAAAAAGTTAAATCATAAAATATATTTTCACTGCTCCATAAGTATAAATGAATAAATGTTTGTATATTAATACTTACAAGTTTTCTAAAAAAAAAATAAAAAAAATACTTACAATGAATTTGTATAAATTTAATAGTTCATAAGCAGCTTGTTCATATATTACATGTAACAAAAAATGACTATTATATGTGTGTTTTATGTTAAAAAGATTAAAATTAAGCCTTAATTATATGTCTATAAAATCCATTCATGTGTAATAATCTATAAACTATATATGTGAAATAAATCGTACTAAGCATATTTTGTGCGACGGATTCGATCGAAAAAGTACTGTCAAGAATTGAATTCATGACATTTAAGTATAAGAATGATGTTTCAATAATTTGGCCACCCATTTTAGTTGGAACGGATTATATGCATATTAGTCTTACAATATTGGAATATGAGTGGTGTATGCTTAAGAAAAATACAGAACTGATTAGTTGATTCATTATTTACCTCCTTCAACGTCCTTAGATAGAAATTCTGGAGATTGTTTGCATGGACAACTCAACTGGTCACATAGCCTTTGTTGGTCATAATTTACCCTCACAAATTGTTGGGCCGGAGTGTGGGTGAGCAAAAATATAGCTCCTATTGGTCAAAATTTATCCTCCACAAACTGTCTGGCGCGAGGTGTAGCTCATTCAACCTTTTGTCACAGCAAGCGTGTGCATGACATGCGCTCGCTGGGCGCGCAAGTTGCGCAGCTCATAAAGCTGATGGGGTCCACATCTCGACAAAAAACCCCATTTTACTGCAAAGACGACCTCAAATTTTCTTTCATCTCATCCTCTCTCCAGTCTCCTCCACCTCACCCACTATTCCTCAAAAATTGGTCCTAAATTTTCTAATGGGGATGCTCTTAGTATTAGTCAACTCTAAGCGGGAAACATACATAGGCTCGGTTTGACATAGCTTATTTAGGAGTTTATAGTTTAATTTAATTAAGCTACTAATAAGCTAGAATATTTATTTGGTAATACTCCTAAAATAAGCTTATAACTTAAAACACTACCTAAAGTAACGTTTTACAAATAAGTTAGTAACTCCCCCTTTTTTTTTTTTTCATTTTTATCCTTATTATTATTATTTTACCAAACATAGCCATAAAACTCCAAAGAGAAAATTTCAATTTTGGTCCACTGACTATTGGGGTTGTGTTAATTGCAACACTTGACTTTCAAAAATGTTTATTTAGTACCTTGACTATGCAATTTCTATCAATTTTGGTCACTCCGGCCAAATTGCCGGCCAAATTTCACCGGAAAATTTTAATAGGTCAAATAATGAGGGTTTTTTGGTCATTTTACATTTTTCCTTTCTTCTCCGGCGAGCAACTCCATTTCCGGTGACTTCTTCTTGAATCTATTCGGCGTCAGTTGCTCGACGACTTTGATGCTCCGTTGGCGTCTCCCCCAGTTTTCTGCCGTAGTGGAAGCTTTGGTAAATCCGGGTGGTTGTCGACGGGGGATGAGATGCCCACTGCGGTGGTCAAGGAAAAGCCAAAATTCTTCGCGGAGAAGTCGCCGACGGTGATGAAGAAGGAGGATTGTTCAGCCGGCACGGAAATCCAGCAGCCATCTTTAATTTGTGGGTCTGTGTGTTCGCCGAACCCAATCTCACACTTCACAGCTCACTCACCGCCGCCCTGCATGTATTGTATTTCCAACCAATTAATTTCAAAGCAAGAATCCACAAACCAACAGTGAAATTCTCACTCAAAAAGGACTCAAAATCCATTTGGCCTCTCATCAGTGAAATTCTCACTCAAAAGCACACCAAATCCCCTGAAGAACATCGCCGGAAATGGAGGAGCTCATCGGAGAAGAAAAAAGAGGAGTAAAATTACTAAAATACCCTCATAAATTGACCTATTAAATTTTTCCGGTGAGATTTGGCCGGCAATTTGACCGGCGTGACCAAAATTGATAGAAATTGCATAGTCAAGGTACTAAATAAACATTTTTGAAAGTCAAATGTTGCAATTAACACAACCCCAATAGTCAGTGGACCAAAATACCCTTTGCAGAACTAAGAAATTACTTGGTTAGTTTGGTTGGGTTTGGTTATTGACTCATCGTTCGTTTCATTTGAGTGCGTTAGTTGCGCCAAAAATCACGAAATTAGCGGTCAACGGCCAAGATTCTTTTAAGGCAATTTGCTTTGATTTTGGCACGTTGATTATTCCACTGCTAAAATCTCGACATTCTAAATATAAATCATTCCCTCCGAGATTGTATTCATGTCCGATGTTCTTCAGTATCAGAGCGCTCTAATGTGAATCTCCGAAGCTTTCTCGTAGAATCTTTTCGTCGTTTTCCCGCTAACCCATTAACGATGAATGCAGAGGAATCTGAAGCTCGTGAAAATGGAGAGAAGTACGAGAAAGAGGCAAATATTTCAGAGGTTTTAGACGGGAAGACGGAGAAGAAGGAGGAACAGTCTTCATCGCCGAGGGGAGTCTTGGAGAGACGCCAGTTATCGGTTTCTTCCGATTTCGGCAGCGGAAGCTTCGGGTCGGAGGAGGAAATCGCCCACTCTCCCGGCGGCGGCGTCGCCGGCGGCCTGAGAGGGCTGAACTGGAACTGGAAAAACTGGTTTGAGCAGATGATGAAGAAGAAGAAGACCGGAAAAAAGAAGGTGTTGGGTAGAATCCGCAGTTCTGAGGAAACCATACTCGATTCTTGTCATCTTCCAATCCCAAAACCTTCTTGGAGAAGCTTCACCCTTGAGGAGCTCGCTCAGGCAACTGATAATTTTAGCCCTGGTAACCATTATTGATTACCCGTTCTTTAATTACTCCATTTTTTATGTTAAGATTTTCTTGAAAGATGAGATTTTTCTGGGTTTTCTTCTATGGTGGTGTATTGTATTGCAGTTTCTGTGTCTCTGTTTGCCATGAAAAAAGTACAGACTTTTGTGTAGTTTAGACCTTTAAGATCACATTTACTTTTGATGGTGGAGCATTAACCTCCTTAGCAAAGCAGTCAAATGCGGCGCTGCAAAACATTGACTCCTATGATGTTTTTTTAGTATCAACCACGTTAACATAAAAGTAGTTGAGGGGACCCACACGGGCAATTCAGTTGGTACTCAAGTAATAAATTGATGCCAAACTTAAGATTGAATCATCACTCTCACATCACATAAGAGAACGTCAGTCTATATTATTTACCTGTCTATAATCTTGTTCAGTCGAGACGTAGAAATACTGTTATTTTGTGATGGGCTCCCTGTAAATACCAAGCAGAGTCCTATCACTTAAGAGGCCATCATGTTACCGTCATTTACCCCTTTATAATCCTGTCGGGCTAAGGTCTTCGCCTTTTGAGGCCAAAAGTAGTTGAAGCCTAAGGGTAGAGTTTTGGGGTAGTTTCCATTTTTGCCCATGAAAGAAGTCCATATTTTAACAAGTCAAAGTCCCTTACTTCATTCTAATTAGGTGAGTTAGTTTGGGTAGTTTCAACCTTATTCTATTCCTTAAATAAAGTTAGATATGTAAGATGTATAAAAAATTATTATTTTTGTTCAAAATATCATGTCATTAAAAAAAAAAAAAATTTTTTTACCCTCCAAAACAATACCTTTGAAGCCAATTTAGCAGTTACTGTCATTCCCTGTCATCCTAGGTTGCCTCTTATTTTTGTGTACTTATAAAAGTCCATATGGTGGGGTGGGTGGCTGAAGGGGATTGTTTGACATCAGCTTTGTTGTTTTTGGAGAATTTAATGTTAATGAATTGAGCTGGGGAGAGTTGGAAAGTCGAAGACTTTGATTGACTTAACGTGTTTTGTAGATAAGTTGATTGGACAAGGGGGTCATGCAGAGGTGTACAAGGGCTGCTTAGCTGATGGCGAGGTTGTTGCAGTGAAAAGGATAACGAAAAAGGACAAGAACGATGATGATCGAGTTGGAGATTTCTTGTCTGAGCTGGGCATCATCGCCCATATCAATCACCCGAATGCTGTAAAGTTAATTGGCTTCAGTGCTGATGGCGGTTTGCACCTCGTTCTCCAATACCTTCCTCATGGCAGCCTCGCTTCTGTCTTGCACGGTGATGGATTATATTTACTCGTTTTGATCCTCAGAATCTGTCGGACTAGTATAGATCAGTATGTATGTTGTTACTGTTCTGATACTTTAAGGATACGTTGCAGGTTCAGAAGAGAGTTTAGAGTGGAGAATAAGGTTTAAGGTTGCTGTCGGGGTAGCAGAAGGTTTGCAGTACCTTCACTGGGATTGCCAGAAGCGTATAATCCACAGAGACATTACTGCCTCGAACATATTACTAACCGAGGATTATGAACCCCAGGTTTTAAATTAGTTCTGTTAAGGGTTGTTAAGAATATATACAAAGCTCGTTTTTGTTGTATGGTGTTGTGATGCAGATATCAGATTTTGGATTAGCGAAATGGCTCCCAGAGAAATGGTCTCGCCATGTAGTTTCACCTATAGAAGGCACTTTCGGGTATGGGGACAAATGCCAAATTTCATAAACCATCTATCATCCTTTGTTATCTGTTTTCATTTTTGCTTGGCTCTCAGATATTTGGCACCCGAATACTTTATGCACGGGGTTGTTGACGAGAAGACTGATGTCTTTGCCTTCGGGGTGTTGCTGCTGGAGCTCATTACTGGGCGTCGTGCTGTTGATTCATCACGACAAAGCCTCGTTATTTGGGTATGTAAGCATATAAGTATCATAGAAAACGCGGGGAACCTAGAACCATGATGGCTTATGATGTTTTTTTGATTTAGGCAAAACCACTGCTGGAGAAAAACAACACGAAAGAGTTAGCAGATCCTCGTCTTGGAGATGCCTATGATGTTCCTGAAATGAAACGTGCCATGTTCACAGCCTCGACGTGCATTCATTGCCTCCCTAAATTGCGCCCGAGCATGAAGAGGGTAAGCCTACATGTTCCTAAAAAGTAAAAACCTCTCCTAACACCCCCCAAAACCGAAAAGAACCTTAAAAGATGCTAAACTCTGCAGGTTGTTCAGCTCCTGAAAGGCGAGAGCGAGGCTGTGGATCTGAAACACAAGTCGACAGAAGGGCGAGCGCTTCTCCTGGGCTCCTTCGACTTGGAAGACTACACCTCCACAACTTACCTCAGAGACCTAAATCGCCATATGCAGCTCGTTATGGAGTGATTCTATGTATATATCTATTAGCTCTAAAATGAGTATGGTCTGTAAGAACAAATATTTCGCAGCAGAAAATGGTGCAGTAAAAGGAGAAATGCTCATACTGCATTTCGGTTTTTGCATATTCCTTCTCTATTCCATTCCTTTCTCGGTTATGAATTGAGGCTTGTAACATGGCAACAAGAACATGAAAACAGATTGAAATGAACATAAACAACATATGAATAATAGAAAGCAGACATTTTATGCCAGAAAACATGAACCTAAAATCTGTATTACATATAATGTTTCTGTCATTCTGGTGAGTTTTTTTCTGCTGCAAAATAACGGGGGAGGAACTCGAGAAGATGGGGAAATAGGGAAAAGAAAAACAAAAACTTTCCACAACGAGTTCCCCCCATGCCTGTGAAGCTCTCACAAGCATCTACTACTAGAGCTGAAGAGAAGGTACTTACAAAGGTTCCAGCTTTTCTACCTAGAAAACTAAAGCTTTTCTTCCTTAAATAAAACCTTTTACTTCTAGCCAACCCGGTTTAAAGCTACTATGCTAATGTTTTTTGTTTTTTGTTTTTGTTTTTTGTTCCTCGGGTCAGATGAGCGGTCAGTTTACTTCAATTTTTGGTGCAATAAACAAGAGAGAAAGGTCATATACTAGCAGAACATAACTGCTGAAGATGCCAAGTTGCTCGAGCTAGCTTGGCTAGGCTCGTTTTTCATGTTAATAGGATGGATGAGGCCAGATGAAGAACTCAGCTGGGGAGGCCTGAAACGGGAGCGCAGCGGGGATGTCGGCAGACAGGTCAGCATTGCCACCAGAGTGGAGGTGGTGGAAGAGGGTCGGGTGGTGGTGGTACAATGCTGCAGCAGAGGAGTCGAACGAGACACCACAAGGAATGGCAGAGACAGGCGGGATTGCCCCGAAATTGATGCTGCTGCTGCTATTGCTGCCACCACTAAGAGCGGGGGAGTGCTGCTCGGGCTCCAGCGAAAGCTTAAGGCGCTTTGCTGCCCCGCCAATCGGAAGGGCGCTCTTCAGTATGGTATCAACGTCGTATCTGCTCATCTCGAAGTTAGTCACTGCACTCATTCCCCTAAACTTTATTGCAGCTACATCATACGCTTCTGCAGCTTCCTCCTCGGTTGCTGCCACCATAAAAAAAAAACCAACATTTCAACCTCGAACCTCATCTCCATCTACTTAGAGTAGCGAGAAAATGTACACTTACCAAATGTCCCGAGGTACAGGTCTTTGTTCCCAGCAACACGACCAATTCTTGCTTGCCAGCGCCCTTGTTGGTGGTGCCTGGAAACAAAAGTTTAGTAAAACACGACCCCCGAATAGAATTTAGGAATCACAGAGAATAGCCCGAACCTTGTCACACCACGGTAAATAGATGCTCCTCTCGAGAAACCACTGCTTTTCCTGATACACACAACAGAAGATTCATTACAAAAAGACCATATTAACTGCAACATATGCAAGCATTTCCTCGAGTTTGTTGCTACTATGATTAGGCTAAGTAATCGAACCTTCTAAGAGAGGCAATGAATTCCTGCTTAGTCATGTTCTTCATATCCTCCAGTTCATTGGTATAATTCGAAATCTGAAACAAAAAAACAGCATTTCACCATTCATGTCAGCTCCTTTTTTCATCAAACGAGGAACAATGATCGATGCTAAGAATAATGTTTTTTTACTGGGAAGTTGGTGGTCGCTGTAGCACCCCAGTACTTCAGAGCAGCCAAATCATACGCCCTCGCAGCCTTGTCCTCCTTGTCATAACCGCCTACACAAATCATACAACCCGCCATTAGTACTTGCAAAATCATACAAACTTCGAAGCAGTTTTAATTTCTGTAAACTATAAAGGAAACTTACCCAAATACACTGAAATATCACAATTTGAATAGCAGCAGCGAAAACGCCATCCCATTTCGTGCAAAATAAGGCAAAAACAACCATTAGAAACAGCAAATATAACACGCAACTAAAGTTGCACAAACCAACGAAACGTAAACATGTTACATATGCCAGGTTTGTTTTAGTAACAACAGCCTTACTACCAATTATAGCTGAACAAGTTAAAATTTTTAGAGCCATGTTTATCTCAGCTGTGGTCCATACATCTTTTTAGCTGTCATGTTTTAAGGTTTGGAGTTAAACCTTAGCCACCCAGATAATAACATAACATAAGACAAAAACAACCTCAGTCATGTTAGTTTCTTGTGTTTTTAGGCTTATCCCACACTAATTAAAGCAATCTTTTCCCTTTCTTAAGGCTACAGCAGCAAAAACACATTCTTGAAAGTGGCACACAACAAAAATGTGGACTTTGGTCAAACCTAATGAGAACCCATGGCCCCCCTTGAGGTTTTAAAGGAAAAAATAAAAGTAAAAGTTGAAGAAAAAGCAATCTCTGATGATATCTGAAATCTGTGATAGATACAGATGAGTTCAGAGACTGGGTGAGATAAGTGTACTGTGTATTTAGATGCTGCTGCTAAAGAACTTTTGGACAAATCTAAGATCTCTCATTTTCTTGATGATGGAATCAGAAGAGTTGCAGAAGACAACAAAACTGAGATGTCCCAGAAACCATGAAGGGAATTGGCGGCCTATCTGGACAAAGAAAAGGAACTAACATAGCCCCCAATAGCTTCTAGACTGTAGACCATAGATTAGGATCAGAGAATGGTAGCTATCAAGATTATCGAGAACAAGAAACGATAATAATGGCAGAACAATTAAAGAAGACAAGATTTACGTGATTCAGTCCACCTGAGAAAAAGATGATCAAACAACATGTACAAAATTACCCAGAATAGTTGCCATTGATGGAATGAAGGAAAGTAACATCATTCATTCAATCAATCACCATTAAAGGGTGACTTGAAAGCTGTCAAAAATGCTCATCTCTGATATGATATGAATCCATTCATATACATAAATATATGAGCCAAAAGTTAAAGGGGCTGTGAATGAAAGAGAAAGACTGTACCTTGACGCCCTTTTCTGGCTTGACCCTCTCGTCTACTGCTGTTATCCCATAGATGCGCTTCGTACCTTCCTGTCCAGCGGTGTCTACAGCCATGAAAACCCACTTTTTAATGCTTACTGTTCATGCTCATTTTGGGTCAAGAATATCTTTGAATCTTGCATGTAAAAGTGGGTAAATTCTGGGGAAAAGATGATAAAGATTTGATCTTTGGATTGTTGGTACCTTGTAACGCCTCTGTAGATTGAGGTTCGTTGTCCGAAGGTGTCGGGGATTTTCTTGGAGGTGTCGGAGTCGACGGGAACAATGGCGGTTTCGGCGGTCTGGGGGTTGACGGCGAGAGATAGAGCTCCGGTGGGGCGTTGGGAGTAGGGGAGGGCGTTCACTGAGTCGATGGAATGGCCGGTGAACTCGGCGGTGGCGATGGCCTGAGTCCGGGGGACGGAGGCGGAGTCGTCGACGTCGGAGCCGGAGTTTGTGGAGAAGGCCTGAATTCCAGGTATGGACTGCAGATCTTGCCGGCTGTTAAAGTAGGCCGCCGCGGCGGAGGTGGAGATGTGGGTGAGCGACGAGTCTTGAGTCTCCGTCTGGCTGTCGGAGTAGCGAACCAACGCCGCCGCTGAGTCGCCGCCGAGGAAGTCCTCCAGCTGCTTCTGCTGCTGCGGCGGCGGCGGCTGGTGGTGGATTTGCGCCTCCTCCATAAACCCATGGAACACCGACGAGTCGCCGCCGCCATTCAAGCTCAGCCCACCAGCCATCTGACCTTTCCCGTTCGTCCAATCTGCCGGAAAATCAAGAAAACCCAACTTATGATCTGAGCTGAGCTCTTAAGCCGCCGGAAAATCAAGAAAAAAAAAAATCACAGAACCATCATATCACACTAGATTCGAAATCCAAACCCGGATTATATAACCCACAACAAAATCAAAACAGATTAACTATATTAGGCCAAGCAACCCAACAAAGATTACACGAAAAAACCTCAGAAATATATTCCAAAACAAGCTCCCATCTCCCTTGTCGTCTTCCCACTTTCCCATGCCAAAAAAAAACATTATTTTGAGGATTCTGAGAACAAAAACGTTTGACTGAGAAACACAACCATTTCCACACATGTATATATACGTCCCATGAGTGCGAGAGTGCAAGAACTAAGAAAACACGGAAAAGAGTAGTCGTTAGTTACTATACCGTTGCCGCCGCCATAGATATGATCAGCAAAGTAATAATGGGGCGAATCGGAAGCGGCAAACGGAGCGTTAATTTTGACGGCGGTGGGCTCATGATGGAGCTGCGAAGACGACGACGACGAGGAGGAACTCAGCATTCCCATGGAGGAAAGCGAGAACGACAACCAGTTGTTCGCCGGAGCCATTTCTGATCACAAACAAATTTAAAAAAAAAAAAAAAAAACACAACAAACAAAAGAAAAACACAAACGTTGTTACGTTGTACTGACAAGACTGATTAAGCTACACCATTTTTACAGATCAAAGCCATGCAAGCAAGCTGTTATCAAGACTCAATCTTTCTGGTTCCCCAGGGAAGAACAGGCTAAAGAACGCAAAGGGTATGGAGAGAAAAGAGTAAATAAGGAAGGGCTTATGGTTTTTGGTGTGAATAGAGATGGAGAAAAAAGGGGAAGCAAGTGGAGGATTATAACGGGGAGAAAAGAGCGGTTTCAGCTGCCATCCGGCGTCAAACTAGACCATGTTTCACTGCACTTAATTATCATTAAAAAGATGTTTTTTTTTTTTTTTTTAAATATCTCCGAAAAGGATAATAAAAAAATTTGAGAGAGAACAGTAATAAAACAGTAATTGAGAAAGCAGTGACTTTTGGCACTGGCGGCAGAAGTGAAGAAAATTTGTCTGAAACAAGGCCGCGGAGAATCCGGGCTGGTGGACAATTTTTATTTTTTTTTTTAATTTTTTTCATTTAGGCCTTAATTCAAATGTTACTGTTGTGCTTATCATTAAATTGCCTATTTTTAAACTATATTCATTATTAATTTGATTAATTAATTAAGTTTTGAGACACTCAATTACAATAATGCCACCTACTCACCAACACCTTTCCGGTCAAATTCTTTGTATATAATTTTTTTAGTGTAATTTATTTTTCATTTTCTCCTATGTAATTTGCAAGTTATTACACATTTGTAGGGTTAAAAAATTGACACTTAAACTATTGATGAATTGAAGTATTTTATAAAAATAATGATACTTTCATGTCTTGATTTTACCTCATAATTTTTTACCTCTTGATGTGATAGTTAACGCTACCAAATATTTTATATATACACATACTTTTTAATCAAATATTTTTTTAAAAATTATTCAAATATTATTACATAAGGAGGTGGAATTAAAAGAGGATGTAACATTATTACTCAATAAAGATAAGGGAATAAAATGACAATTTTAATCTTTTAATTATGTTCATATTGTAGACTTAGCTTACTCCTTAAATTATAACTCTAATCAATTTTTCCCTTTTAATTATTTATAAAGTACAATTTTAACCAAGCCATTAACAAATTTTATTGTATTTGAAATAAAATTTTATATTACAAAAATTGTCTAAAAGAACTGAGTAATTTTATTAAATTTTCTCATTCCCTCCGATGAATAATTACTTTGTTACCGTTAAGAATTTATGTAATATAACATTTGTGGGGACAGAATACAGACTTTTTTGTGAAATTATTTAGTTACTGTTAAGAATTTCTGTAATATAACATTTCGCGTTGAATATTCATTCTTCAGTAATCTGGTTAAAATCGCCCACATTGCAGATAATTAAAGAAGAAAAAAGTATAATAATTTTAAAATCGAGATTACAATATGAGTGTTATTATATGATTAAAACCGTTATTTTCTCTACCGATAGTAAAGGAGGTAACGTAACTATTTTAGCCGAATAATGACACATTTCATGTTATATTGCTTGACTAGGAATAAGATTTTGTGCATGTTACCGCCTACAAATTCGGCAACAAAATAGTTAAACCTAAGATTTGTCTGCCTTTTAAAGTCCTATAACAACCTAATTAAACATTGTGGTGGCTTTGTCCGTTTGTTACCGCTAATGGAGAGCGAGCATACTGTCGGGTACTATACAAGTAGTACAGCCAATAGGAAGCGAGTATATTGTCGAGTCCAAAAATTGTACGACTAATGAGAAGCGAATATGCTCGGGTACGAAATGTACAACGTAACCAACGAGAATCGAACACATTTTCAAGTACAAATCATACCCCTATGTACATGTTCTTCCAGTTTTTCCGGATTGTACATAAATCATGTTATGTTGGCATGACAGAAGCTTGTCTGCCAACGGTATATATGTTTTGTTTGATTTTTCCACTGGATTGGGCTCTAAGATGGGCTGATCAGCCCACATTTCAATGATTATCACTATTGAGACCTACGATCGAGATTGTCTTCCATAATCCACCATAAATATTTATACAAGTTATTTTCAAAATCACCACACCTAGTGTTGGTATAGAGGCTTGAAGGGTCGGAAAAAAAAAAAAAAAAAAAGGCTTGGAGGGCCGAGTCCTACATCTTGCGCTTAAAATGTGGCTCTGACTGCTACGTAAATATAAGAAAATAAAGTTGTGAAGTCGTTAGTAATTATAGCTTTTGGCGTAGTGATCACTTGATCTTGACAATTAGTATCAGAGCTTGATAATGACAATTGGTATCAAAGCAGATCGCATGTGGCATGCTCTGATACGAATTGTTATATCAAGTGTTTACCACTACACCAAAAGTCTGTGACATGCTGTAATACTAATTGTTAAGACCAAGTACTTACCATTACTCCAAAAGATATAACTAGCGAAAGCAGGCAAAATGTTACAGTTAACGGAGCGCGCATTTTTTGGTGTGTTAATTACCAACTGAAATTACAGTGTAACTAAACTAACACTGCCTCACGTATTATTTTTATATTATCAAATGAAACTGCAATTGAATTGAAACGAAACAATAGTTGTGTTGAAATGAAACTGCAGTGTATACAAAATGAAACTGAATAACAATTTCACATATTTGAGTGGATATTGCCTAGCGAAACTGTAGTTATATCAGAATGATACTGTAGTTGTGTTGAAATGAAACTGTAATGTATATAAAATGAAACTGAATAACATTTAACATATTTTAGTGTATATTGTGCAATGAACCTGTAGTTATATCGAAATGATAATGTAGTTGTGTTTTAATGAAACTATAGTGTATATTAAATGAACTAAATAACATTTTCACATATTTGAGTGTATATTATCAGATGAAACTGTAGTTGTGTTGAAATGAAACTGTAGTGTATACAAAATGAAACTGAATAACATCGTTATTTTTTTGCGAACAGTGCAAAACGTGTGTCGTTTCTTTTCATTAAACAAAACGACGTCGTTTTGATGTGCGGTGCACAAAGCTTTGTGGACCGCGATCCACAGTATAATTTACCCTTACAGTACGTTAGGACCTGCTCAAGATGCTTGACAAAAAAAAAATAATAATAATAAGAAAGCCTAATGTTATCCAACTCATCTAGTCATCATCTATCTCCCCTAAGGCAAACGCAAGCATCTTTCACTTGGATATGGATTTTGTTGAGGGGAGGATGGAAGTGAAGTTGGCGTGGATTGATGCCTATTCAAACACTTGTCCTTCATGCCGAGACATCTACCTTGCCTCCCTAAAGTCCAACGATTCTTTCTCATACCCCACGCCATTTGTGCCTTACCTCTTTACCAATTTGACTATTCCATTCACCCTATCACGTTTTGTATCACACTTGCAACCCTAATCATTTTTGGTGTGTCACTTTTTACTTGGTTAGATAGGTGGGACTGATGTTTATATGTTTATCGTCGAAAAAATAGTAGTAGATAGGTGGTATTGAAATCAATGTTTATATGTTTATTGTTGAAAAAAATGTTATTTTTTCCTACTAAAATCAATATTTGTGGATGGATAGGCAGCGTTGAAACTAATGTATGTAATTTTTCATAATAAAATTAGTATGTATGGACATGTGGCATTAAAATCAATGTTTCTATTTTTATCGTAGAAGAAAATATTTGTTTTCCATATTATGCATGGCAATGTTTAGTAAATGACAGATATGTCATTTTAACACTGGTGACACCATTTTATTAACCAACGATTTGGAGCAGCGGTTTGCTCCAAACCGCTAGAATTCCAAATACTACCTTGGACAGCGTTTGGGATTGACATTTTGTGGAAATAGTTTTCTTTTCCAAAAGCTTCCATATTCTTTTTTTTTTTTTTTAAGTAATTATTACTCTTTAGAGACTTATTTAATGAGGAGCCTTGCTCCTCAATGCCTTTACCTATCCGATTTTGATGGGTTGGGTAAGCTAAATATTGGAGCCTATGAGGCTCCATTACCACATTTTTCACTGATGTGGGAAAAGTGGTAACAAATGGGAGTCAGGGGCTCCCTTCAGTTCTTCCATAAATTTTAAAAATTATTATTATTATTATGAAATATATGCATACACTTAGTTATTTTCTTTCTTAATTACTAAAATTAGTGTTTATATTGGCGTTGGAATCACAGTTTTTCCACTAAAATCACTAATCCTTACTTTTCTTGTACATGGGTAAGTGGCGTTGAAATCAATATTTATATGTGGCGCTGAAACTAAAGTTTTCCTACTACAATCACTATTGCTTTTTAGTTTTTGCCACTTTTACGGGGCGTTTGGTTGAAGGGAATTTAAATTCTCTTCCGACTTAATTCCCACCTAATTCCAAAAGTCACAAACTTCCCTTTTTTGGTTGAAAGGAATTGCAATTCCTCCATTTTCATGGAATTAAAATCATATGTCCCCTCTGGGATTTTAATTCCTGTGATTTTAAGAAGAAAAAAAAGATAGTGATGAGTCAAAATTACCCCTTCCCTTTTTAACCTAAAATTAATGTCTAACAACAATAATGGACATTTTTGACTTTATACTACTTATTCCATTTCAATTCCCATGTATACCAAACAATGGAATTGAAATTCCAAGTAATTCTATTCCTGTAAACCAAACACTGGAATTTAAATTCCCACTTTATTCCCAGTAATTTATCTCACATGAAATTGCAATTCATTTCCCATGTAATTCCCTATCTCCAACCAAACGCTTGTTACTTGCATATGGGTAAGTGGCCTGGTATTGAAACCAATGTTTCTATGTATATCATTAAAAAAAAAAAAAAAGTTATTTTTTCCTTCCAAAATTAGTATCTATATGTGGACTGTGGTATTGAAATCAAAGTTTTTTGTTTTTTACATTTATTGCTAGATAATTTTATTTTTCCCCAACTAAAATCAATGTATATATGTAGCAATAAAATCAAAATTTTTATATTTATCCCAAAAATGTTATTGTTCTCTACTAAAATTATTTATAAGTGACATTAAAATCAACATTTCTATATTTACCGTTGAGATAAATGTTATTTATCCCTACTAAAATATGTGTTTGTATGTAGCGTTGAAACCAAAGTTTCTCTACTAAGATCACTAATCCTTTATTGTGTTTACAATTTTAACTTGTATATGGGTAAGTGGCGTTGAAATTAATTTTCTATGTTTATGTCAAAAAAAGTTAATTTTTCGTACTACAATTAGTATTTATAGGTGGTATTGA